TCATAGTTGTGATTCTGTGTTATTTACCACTCCTTATCTACTTTTTATGTCTCAGCATTTATTAAAAATTATCTCTTTTCAACCTTCTCTCCTGGTGCTGTGTGTCACCTTTATTTTGTGACTAATGAGATGTCTAGAGGGAGAGGAAATAAATTTGTGATCAATCTATTATATTTAATCCAAATTTAGGACTTATATTTAAGTGCAAATCAAAGTTTAATTTCAATATCATTAATGATATTAACCCAGACAATTCTTTAGTGATGTATCTATAATAAGCATGTTCAGTTGTCTTCTAAGGCCTTGTTTGATATTTTCATTCAAACTTTATACACTCTCATATTATCCCATTACGTTACAACATAGATGGAGCTGTTTTCATGAATGCTCACAGTGTTAGAAATATTTAAGTTAATTAAGATATGTTTATTTTTTAGCATGGTCAACATAGCAAGACCTCATCTCTACAAAATGGTGAAATAACAAATTAGCCAGGCAGGGTGGCATATGTCTTTAGTTTTACCTACTCAGGCAGCTGAGGCAGAGGATTGCTTGAGCTCAGGAGTTTGAGGCTGCAGTTAACCATCATTGCACCACTGCCCTCCAGCCTGGGTGACAAAGTCAGACCTTGTCTCAGAAAAAGGAAAAAAGTTATTAATAGTTTAAAAACATGCCTAAAATTTGTCCTGCCAAAAAGGAGAGAGAAAAACATAAACTTTAGTTTTTATTTTACTTTATTTATGTTCGCTGAGAAGATTGCTGTAGTTTATTTATCTATTTTTTATTTCTGTAGGTTTTGGGGGGAACAGGTGGTATTTGGTTACATGAGCAAGTTCTTTAGTGATGATTTGTGAGATTTTGGTGCACCCATCATCTGATCAGTATCCACTAAACCTGATTTGTAGTCTTTTATCCCCCACCCTTTTCCCACACTTTCCCCTGAGTCCTCGGAGTCCGTTGTATCATTCTTATGCCTTCGCATCCTCGTCGCTTAGCTCCCACGTATGAATGAGAATACACAATGTTTAGTTTTCCATGCCTGAGTTACTTCACTTAGAATAATAGTCTCCAATTCCATCGAGGTTCCTGGGAATGCCATTAATTTATTCCTTATTGTAACTGAGTGGTATTCCATCACATATATATGTGTGTGTGTGTGTGTGTGTGTGTGTATGTATATAAAATATATACACATATATCACAATTTTTTATCCCCTCATTGACTGATGGGCATTTGGGCTGGTTCCATATTTTTGTAACTGAAATTTGTAAATTGAAATTTGTTTGAGTTCCTTGTAGATTCTGGGTAATAGCCCTTTGTCAGATATATAGAGTGTGAAAACTTTCTCCCACTCTGTGGGTTGTCTGCTTACTCTGCTGATTGTTCCTTTCCCTGTGTAGAAGCTCTTCAGTTAAGTCTTCCCTGTTTTTGTTGCATTTGCTTTTGGGTTCTTGGTCATGAAGTCTTTGCCTAAGCTGGTGTCTAGAAAAGTTTTTCAAAGGTTGTCTTCTAGAATTTTTATGGTTTTAGGCATAGATTTATGTGCTTGATCCATCTTGAGTTGATTTTTGTGTGTGGTGATAGTTGAGGATCCAGTTTCATTCTCCTGCATATGGCTTGCCAATTCTCCCAGCATCATTTGTTGAATAGGGTTTGCTTTTTTCACTTTATATTTTAGTTGGCTTTGCTGAGGATCATTAGGCTGTAAGTATTCAGATTTATTTCTGGGTTCTTTCTTCTGTTCCATTGGTGTATGTGCCTCTGTTTATACCAGTTTCATGCCGTTTTGGTAACTATGGCTTTATAGTATACTTTGAAATTAGGGAATGTGATTGATGCCTCCAGATTTGTTGTTTTTGCTTAATTTTGATTTTGCTATGTGGAGTCTTCTTTGGTCCCATATCAGTTTTATCATTTTTTTTCTAGTTTTATGAAGAAGGATGATGGTATTTTGATGGGAATTTCTTTGAATTTGTAGATCGCTTTTGGCAATATGGTCATTTTTACAATATTCATACCACCCATTCATGAGCACGAGATGTCTTTTCTTTTGTTTGTGTCCATCATTTCATTCAGCAATTTTTTGTGATTCCCAGCAGAATATCAAAAAGATAATCCACCGTGATGAAATGGGTTTCATACCAGGGATCCACGGATGGTTGAACATACACAGGTCAATAAATGTGATACACCACATATACAGAATTCAAAACAAAAATCATATGATCATCTCAATAGACACAGAAAAAGCATTTGACAAAATCCAGCATCATTTTGTGATGAAAACCCTCAGCAAAATTGGCATAGAAAGGTCATACTTCAGTGTCATAAAAGCCATCTATGACAAACCCACAGCCAACATAATACTGAAGAGGGAAAGGTTGAAAGCATTCCGCTTGAGAACTGGAACAAGGCAAGGATGCCCCAGTCTCACTGCTTTTATTCAGCACAGTACTGGAAGACCTAGCCAGAGCAGTCACGCAAGAGAAAGAAATCAAGGGCACCCAGATCAGTACACAGGAAGTCAGACTGTCACTGTTTGCTGATGACATGATTTTATACTTAGAAAACCCCCAAGACTCCACCAGAAAGCGCCAAGAAACTGATAAATGAATTTAACAAAGTTTCAGGAGACAAAATTAGTGTACACAAATCAGTAACTCTGTTGTGCCCTAACCGCAAATGCTGAGAATCGAACCAAGAACTCAGCCCCTTTTATAATAGTTGCAAAAATAAAATAAAATTCTTAGGAATAGACCTATCCAAGGAAGTGAAAGACCTCTACATGGACCTTCGATGGTAAGCCTTTGGTTTTGACTTACTAAATTACTAGGTATAATTATCTTCTAGTTTTTGTTATTAACCTACTATGTAACCCCTTCCATTTCTTGTTAAAGATCATAAAATTTCACACTCTTTATTCATGCTGACTGCAGTTAGATGATTTGTTTCTCTTTTGTTGATTACCTTGAATAATGCCGACAAACAGTAAACCGTTAGGAGTGTTTTTGGTGTAATTAAACGTAGTAAGACTTATTTTCCAAATTATAACTGAATTAATTTATTAAATACTTGTCCAAGTTTTTTATTTACTCAAAATCATGTGGTCAGCAGCTGGAAGTAGAAAGAGTAAGAGCCCTCCCTTAAGCTTATGGAGAGGCGGCATACTTTCTGGTGAGGGAAATACTCGGCAAGAATTAGCATCTTGTTACCAGTCTTGAATTTGATTAATTAGTGTACAGAAAAACAAAAACAAAACTTCTTTTGTGTGTGGCTGCTGGCAAAAAGATCCAAGAAGGTAGATGGAATCAAGCTTGCTGAAACAAGGAGAGAGAAAAACAGTCTTCTAGGCAGAGAGCAAGGGTATAGCAGGAAAATGCCTAGGTGCAGGTCAGATGATTTATAGAATGAAATTAACCAACTTTTGAAATGAATGGCAATGTTCTCTGAGAGTTTCATTGGAGTCATGTCATGGCAGTCTTATTTAAACATGAAGTGAAAGTTAAATTTTTTAAGTTGTTATCTGTTTTCAAGGTGTGAGAGAATATTTAAGTGATAATCTTTCTATCCTCCACATAAGAAAACAGGACTAGAGAAACCTATGGCTTCCTCCCTTGGTGGTGGCCTAGTAACCCGGGCACACAGAACCTCTGAATGTGAAACACCTGTTTTGTCACAATATTGCCTGAAATAATACACGTAGGATTAGTAAGTTTGTAAATACATTAGTCTTATATTCATGGCAATAAATTTTTCTTGTACCAGTATTATTTAATACATTGCATTTTATTGTAATAAATTAATAGAAATTCTCAGCTGCTTTATATCATGGTAGGAAAAAAAGCAATGAAATAGTATTTTAAACTTTTGTCATATATAAAGAAAATTCATAAAATCCTTGTTAGGTTTGATGACAGGTAGCATATTAAGAGCAGCATTTTCTAACCCATATCTGAATATCGTCTCTGGAAGTTAAGAGCCTCCAGTGGTTTTTCTATACAATGCACATGATATCACACTCAGGAAGTTCATGGAGTGTAAGAAATATCTTAGTGCTTTGTCACTTGACATTTTAACTGAGAAAAAAACACACACACTTTAATAAGTTTAGCTTATCCTTCCCTTTCTCTTTAGATATCTACGGATCTTTTGTTTTTGAAATCTAGCTCATGCTCAACGATTTTTCTTCAAGACAGCACAGCCAGCTGCCCTCACTTTAAAATGACACTAAAATCGTGAGTACAACTATACTGCCAAGGGAAAGATTAAAATTATTTCAGCCCTTTGGCCATCCTCTTCAATCAGTTGAAGCAATTGGAGCCAACTATATGTTGATACCAGGTTCTAAATATTAAGTATCAATTTCTCTTTTCATCTTCTACATCATGGTGGAAGGAAAAATCTCTTAACAAATAAGCAATTTCAGAAAATGTGTTGCTATTTATTTGATGTCTTTATGCCTTAAGAGAATGTTGAGTGTAGTAAGAAGGATAGGTTCCCTTTATTGAATGTTTTTAGTGAAAAATTAGTTTCTCAATGTGTTGCAGGCCTAAGTCAATGTGTACTACTTTGGACATTAGTCTTAGAAGAAGGAACAGCTTTTTCTCCTCTGGCACCACAGTGTATCTGCATTTGAATTTCTCCCTCTGTGCATGAGCACCTCATGGGCCACAAAGATGCTCTTTGAGAGCACTCTGAGATGAAGTTTATCTTTCAAAAGGAACAACCACCAACACCACCACCACAGGGGCTGTCCAGTGATCATTATTATCATCTCCTTGGTTATGAGTGTTGATTTTTAGGGCACAGTTTGCAAAGTGCTAATTTAGAATATTAATGTCCTTAAATATAGGTTTACTTTTTGTTCTAGAAATATAACTAGCTTGCTTATAAACAATTTTGTTTTGAATGCACTAGCCTTTTTAGCTAACTCAATTGTCAGTAACTTTAATTAAAAACAGCAGGTTTATACTTATAATAATGTCACTTTCCTCCCCTCCCTTAAAACAATAGTTGAGATGAAATTGTGTTTCAGCAAATATTGGAATCAAATTATGTCTTAGGTGCTGAGCCTTGGGACCTATTGAGTCTTTTTCCTTTTCTTTTTCTTCTTTTTCTTTCTTTTCTTTTTCTTGTTTTCTTTCTCTTTTTTTTTTTTTTTTTTTTTTTTTTTTGAGACGGAGTTTTCCTCTTGTCTTATTGCCCAGACTGGAGTGCAGTGGCACCATCTTGACTCACCACAACCTCCACCTCCCAGGTTCAAGCAATTCTGCCTTGGCCTCCCAAGTAGCTAAGATTACAGTCATGCACCACCACACCCAGCTGATTTTGTTTTTTTGTCTTTTGTGGGGTTTTTTGTTTTTTGTTTTTTGTTTTCTTTTTGGAGAGTTGAGGTTTCTCCGTGTTAGTCAGGTTGGTCTTGAACTCGCAACCTCAGGTGATCTGCCCACCTCTGCCTCCAAAAGTGCTGGGATTACAGGCATGAGCCACCACACCTGGCTGTCTCTTAAATCTTTGAGCATAAAAACAAACAAACAAACAAACTACTTGGGCTAAAGTCCCTGGCTGCTTTTGAATTCAAACAATTTTTATGTGTTAGCATAGAATCCAAAGTACCTTTGAAGATAGTCTTGTTCAAACAAATTTCATGCCTTTTTCCTCATTCTTCTAATTTTTAGCAGTCTACTTTCAAAAGTAAAGTAAGTTTTAATTTGCCATCAGCAAGTTTGAGAAATGATCATTTGGTGTATTCACTCTTGGTGAGATAGAGGTTTATTGAGCAAATTAATAGGGCAAATTGGCTTCAGGAAAAGATTTTGAAAAATATTCATCACAAGTTAGTAGTGCACTGTTATCAGTGGGTTAGGTGGAACCCACTGGGTTCACTTTTGCAAAGTTTGCGAAATACATGTCTGCAAATACATGCATCCTCCAATCTCCACTTTCCCTCTATCTCCAGGCACTGAGAAGTCTCTTAGGAAAACATAGCATCTTTATGTGAAGAAAAGCATCCGAGAAGATTCTGATTTTCACCCCAACTCGATCATTTCACATTTTTCTGCACATTGAAATCACCTGGGAAACTGTTACCAACAACCCTGATGGCCAAAGTTACATCCAATGCTAATTATTGAAAATAAAGCAGTAATTATGCCAGGCGCAGTGGCTCACGCCTGTAATCCCAGCACTTTGGGAGGCTGAGGCTCTACTAAAAATACAAAAAATCAGCTGGGCATTGTGGTGCGTGCCTGTAATCCCAGCTACTCAGGAGGCTGAGGCAGGAGAATTGCCTGAACCCAGGAGGTGGAGGTTGCGGTGAGCCAAGATTGCGCCATTGCACTCCAGCCTGGGTAACAAGAGCGAAACTCTGTCTCAAAAAAAAAAAAAAGAAAAGAAAAGAAAATAAGGCAGTTATTAAAGCTTCTCAGGTGATTTTAATATGCAGCAAAATTTAGAGCCATTGCCTAATTTGAGTTTAGGGCAAGAAATTGCTCCTCTTTGTTGGGACCCTGGGCAAGTCAGTTTTAAGATTTGTTTCCCTGATCTGTAAAATGAGTGTTGGATTAAATGTCTTGTAAGGTCATTGGTCCTTTCCAGCATATAACTTCAAATTCTGTGATTTTAAAATTATTTCAGAGATGAAAACTACTTGAAGCACTATAGACATGTCCATCTGAAGTGCTAATGTTACAGGCTTTTTAAAAAGTGCTGTTACCAAAATTGAGATTTGCCTTCCCTCAGTTATTTTGAACCTCATTGTAGATGCTGAGGGCAAATGGAAGCACATAACTTATGTAAGAGAATCTCTTGTTTTCTGATACACAGCATCAGCGGGTAACTTAGGAATACAGTTACATGTCTGAAGAGTTGTGTCTGTTCATAAACATTTCAGTTAAACTAACGGAAGATACCTGCCATTGATATGACACTGTGTCGTGCTGCACTACCTTGTTAGCTCTGCTTATTTTAGGATTGCTGTACCTATCACTGATGTCATGTGAGCTAATGTTTACTAATATATTTTCTAGTAATTATGCAAAAGCAATTTCAAATAATTTTATTTGTTATAAAGCACTTTGATTATGTTATGCATTTTTTGGGAAATAATTTTTAAAATGGGTGGGCAGGAGATAGTGAGCTAAACTAAAATGCAGGGCCTAACATTTAAAAAAGAAACCACTACTGTGTGGCTGAAGTTTAAACGTATGTACACATAGATATAAATTGCATGAGTCAGGGTGCAGTGGCTCAAGCTGTAATCCCAGCACTTTGGGAGGCTGAGGCAGGCAGATCACTTGAGGCCAGGAGTTTGAGATCAACATGACCATCATGGCAAAACCCCATCCCCACTAAAAATACAAAAATTAGCCAGGCATAGTGGCACCAAACTGTAGTGTCAGCTACTTGGGAGGCTGAAGCATGAGAATTGCTTGAACTCGGCAGGTGGAGGTTGTGGTGGGCCATGGTTGTTCTGGGCTACAGAGCAAGACTCTGGGTCACACAATAAATAAATACATAAAATAAATTGCATGTGATGAAAGGTTTTGTTGGTAGAAGAACTTATAACAGGGAAATATGTTATTATTTATATATTATAATCACCTACGGAAACACGTTTTCTAACAGTGTATTGTATTGCCTTGCATTTTTGTTCTCATATTTTTGCTAAAACCCAAGAAATGAAAACAAGAAAGTGCCCTTATGATACTGTTCTGAACTAGGAGGTTTTAATTTCAGGGCCACTAGGAGAGTTTCCACCACACCCTTTTAAAAAAATGTCTTCAGACCTAACAAATGATAACATCTATTGTTATGAATGTTTTTCCTTCCACAGTGTGGCCTTGGAGATATATTATCTTATCAAGAAAAGGTGAGCTTTTTAAAAAACTGTCTTATTATTCTGGCTAATTACTTTGCAAGCTATCAAGCTCTTTAGGTCGCAGCTCTAGACATCATGAGCTGTATTGGGCCTACTAAAATATCCAAGCAAATTAGTTATGTTTTCTTTGATCCTTAACACTTTTAATTCTTAAATGATTGGGAATCTCAAAGAGTATGTATTTATATTAATGATATTGATATTTACTGTCATAGAACTATAAAATTGAGATTTTTTTCAAAATCTATTTTTAGTTTAGATTTCACAACCTTATCACTGTTGATATCTTGATCTAGATAACGCTTTGTCAGGAGGACTGTCCTGTGCATTGCAGAAAGTTTAGCAGCACTGGTGGCCTGTACCAAGTAGATGTCAGTAGTTACCCATGACCCAGGTTGTGACAACAGAAAATACTCCCTGAGAACAATATTGTTAACAGAAAATTTTTAATGAGAAAATAGATTTTCTACAACAAAAAGTTGAGTAAAAAGTGTGTCATGTATTTATATTATTGAAAACCTCGAATGTCGCATTTAATAGAAAACAGCTGGATTCTCTAGGTCTTTCTTTGCAATTTGCTTTAAGAAGCAATAAGATGGCCAGGTGTGGTGGGAGGCACCTGCAATCCCAGCACTTTGGGGAGGCCAAGGCGGGCAGATTCGTTTGAGGTCAGAAGGTTGAGACCAGCCTGACCACCATGGTGAAACCCATCTCTACTAAAAATACAAAAAATAGCTGGGCATGATAGTGCATGCCTGTAGTCAAGAAAGGGAAGCAATGACATGACCTAATCTCATGCAAATATGTAGTTGGTAAAAGGTGCATTTTTAAAGCTTTGAGACAGCTGTGGGTATTTAATAGTAAGTGCAAACTTGACAAGTGCTACTTTTTAAAATTCGTTGCAGTGGTATTATACATATTAAAAAATTTATTTGGTCAGTAATCACTAATCTGTCTTGCATGGTAAATGGATCTTTCCCCCATACTTGCATTTATACTATCATGCATTAGTTATTTGGAATATATTGGTTTATGTTTTATTGTGTCAAAAATCACTTTTAACCACCAATATTATTTTAAAAGTCTTTAAGTGTTGAAAAGCTGTCAAGCCTGCAGTAGAAGGATCGAGATTTTCAAAGTCCTCAGGAAAGCTTAATTTATCATTGGGAACACATGTTAATTTCCTTGATGTAACAACCTCAGTTCATTTATTTTTAAGAATGATAGTTGTCCTTTTTTTTTTGAGACTGAGTCTCACTCTGTCACTTGACTGTAGTACATTGCCATTATCTCAGCTCAAGTATTTCTCTCACCTCAGACTCCTGCGTCGTTGGGACCACAGAGGTGTGGCACCACGTCTGGCTAATTTTTGTGTATTTTTGGTAGAGAAAGAGTTTCACCATGCTTCCCAGGCTACTCGAACTTCTGAAGGAGCTCAAGCGATCTGCTGCTTTGGTCTCCCAAAGGGTTTGGATTCTAGAGGTGTGAACCATTGCATCAGCACAGTAGTACCTTTAAATGAAAATGATGTTCTGTGAAAAAAGTGATTGTTCCACTCACAATTAAATCATGAATTTTTTTTAAACACAACGGTACTGCAGTCAGCAGAAGCGCTTCTTCTTGGCTTTCTACTGATTCAGAATATTAAAGAGACATGTCAAGATTTAGTAACACCATTAATCGTTTCTGCCTCAACAAAGGCATTCTTAAATACTTTAGACTGCTTTTTAACTGTGAGGGACAATAAAGAACAGAATTACTACCAGTGTAATTGGTACCACTGCCTTGATTTAGGCTGAGAAACCAGCAGTTTTATCCGCTTTTGCTTTTATACAGTTATGGGAAGTGTCTATGAAAAAGTAGTCAGTGTCTTTGTATTACTTTCTTAATTAAAAAAAATTTTGTATCAGTTTTCTGAAATTGAAATAGTATGATTATCAGAACAATGTCCAGCAGACACATTGGCTCAAGCCTGTAATCCCAGTACTTTGAGAGGCCAAGCAGATGAATCACCTGAGGTCAGGAGTTCAAGACCAGCCTTGCCAGCATGGTGAAACCCCATTCTACTAAAAATACAAAAGTTAACTGAGTGTGGTGGTAGGCACCCATAATCCCAGCCACTCGGGAGGCTGAGGCAGGAGAATCACCTGAAACTGGGAGACGGAGGTTGCAGTGAGCCAAGATCCCACCATTGCACTCCAGCCTGGGCAACAAGAGTGAAACTCCATCTCAGAAAAACAAAAACAAACAAACAAAATAAAACAAAGAAAAACAAAACAGTGTTGACCTCTTAGGCCTTCTCAGAAAGGGTCTTCAGGATCCCCAGAGGTCCACAGAGCACATTAGGAGAACCACTGGTTTATCACACAGGCAGAATGCATAGTTTTACAAAATTTAGTTAATCAAACACTAGCCTCTTTTTTTTAAAATTTAATTTAATTTTTTTTTTGTTTTTAAGACGGGCTTTCCCCGTGTTGGTTAGGCTGGTCTTGAACACCCGACCTCAGGTGATCTGCCCGCCTTGGCCTCCAAAGTGCTTGGATTACAGGCGTGAGCCACTACGCCCAGCCCAAGACTAGCCTCTTTTAAAATAAATGGGCAGATGAGTTTTTAATTCAAACAACAGAAAATAAATAAACTCATCATGAAAGTATACTGCAGAGGACTGAAAAGAAAGGAAGCTAGGAAATCGGAATAACATTTACATTTATTAAAGTCCTCAAGACTTTATTGCACACCACTACTGCTTTGTAAAACATTCTTGTGTTTCATTGTGGGGTTAAGAAGAGAGAAAATATGTTTGGTTTAAGTTGTGACTTGTTATTGTGAAAAAGACTTCACAGTACAGGACATGATGTGCTGAGGAAGAAGAGGTCGGGAAACATTCTGCAGGGCAGGATCCAGGAGAAGAATTTGTAAAAACTGCTTTGGTGAGGTAAACACCAAAGCACATAGGAGGCATTATTATACTAAACAGATATTATACTAAGATATTAACAGTTTTTGAAGTAATGCACATTCTTATTTTATAGAGATGGAAATAGAACTCTCGAAATATTTAACGAAGATATATTCCCACTTTATGTAAGTGGCACTTTTATTGAGGTTGTATTTTTATCATGGACTTGTATTTGTTTCATGCTGAAGTCAAATCCATCTTTAAATCCTCCCCATTTCGCGTTGCATTTAGTCCTCTTAGGTGTTATAAAAAGAATGTGTTAGAATAAGAACTGATCTGTAGCTCTGTTTAGTTAGTGAACTAGTATGAGTAAATCTACTATCAAAATAACAGAAAATGTGTCTTTTAAAAGACAGTTAGTAGTAGTATCAAGCAATGTAAGTATATGTAAATACTTTGAACACAGAAGCATGACTTTTATGAAGAGAATTAAAAATAATTTAAGCTTAAATCAACCTACATGTTATAAAAATTTTAAAATGTACTTCCTCAAGTACATGATAGCCACATGTGGCTAGTGACTATTGTATTTAACAGTGTAGGCTTAGAGCCTCATGGTTACAGGAAACTGTATTTTCTCAAAGTTTATTGCAGAGAATGACATACCATCAGTAAGACATTAAAGCCTAAGAGTAGCTTACATTTGGATAGAATTATGTGGGACAAAGAGTAAAAAAGAACAAAAATTTTCTGAACTTTGGCTCATATGATTTTTAAGTGAATGTTGATGGCTATTAAATCATTATGGTATTTTAAGATTCCACTGTTCATATTGTAAAAACTGAAAGACATTTCCCCAATCAAAATGATTGTAAATGATACATGGGCACAAATGTGAACACTGCTGTCTTAAGAGCACTTCAGGTTTTCTCTTCAATGGATACTTACATTGCATCCTTTCTTCTTTCAGCGAGACAAGATTCCGGGAGTACGCTTTATGTTTGATCCTGCACACAAAGTAATCTACAGATTTATGCTTACTTTGTTTCGTGTCAAAAGACTAGAGGCTGACTTAGCAATCATAAGTTTGGTAAGATATTTTCTGTTTATAAAGCATCTTTAGAAATTGGTCTTGTAGTGCAATCTGGCCAATGTGGTTAAACCCTGTCTCTACTAAAAATACAAAAATTAGCCAGCCATGGTGGCTCGCCCCAGTAGTCCCAGCCACTCGGGAGACTGAGGCAGGAGAATTGCTGAACTCAGGAGGCAGAGTGCAGTGACCTGAGATCAAGCCAGTGTACTTCAGCCTAGGCAACAGAGCAGGACTCTATTTCCAAAAAAAGAAGAAATTGATCTTGTAAACAGGGTAGTATGTTGCTGATTTTAAATGAAAGAAGGTTTCTGAAATTATCTCAGAACTTTAAGAGAAACTTATGAAAGCAAGTACACATATTTGAGTTGACTCATCATTATGGCTTAAATGTTGCCTTGCGTTTCTCATTACAGAACAATTGCTATTAAAGGCAGCAGGAGGGATTTCTGATTTCTCCCCCCACACTTTAGTGCACACATGCACACGCAGTGCGCACACATCCAGGGCATGTGGAGGGCTTGGAATGAAGAGCAGTAACAAGACCATCTGGTTCATGGGCAGGAATGCATGCCATTGTAGGTCTAAGCTGAGTCCCAGAGTGTATCCCCAGGCAATTCTCATGTATGTTGTGTTGAGAGCTACTGCCCTCAGTTCATTGTTCCTTGGATGTGTTAATCTACCCGCACTGGGCAGAGTAGGTAGCATAAATATTTGGGCTACGATTGTGATATGGTCCCTTACTTAACCTGATGAAACAAAATCTCTGTAGAACATAAGAATAAAAGGCATCTACTTTCTGGTCAAAACCAGAAGTATTCTGGTTTTTCATAAGAGTTCTTATCACAGCACTGAAACTGAGCTACATCAAAGGCCAGTGCTCTGTTTTCCAGGTTTACATAAAAAGACTTCTAGAGTATGCTGATATCAACATTTGTCCAACCAACTGGAGGAGGATTGTCTTGGGAGCCATTCTTCTTGCCATCGACATTTGGATCGATGTGACTGTGGACAATAAGGACTTATGCGGGCTCTTTGAGAAAATGACAGTGGACAATATGTGAGTTTGTACGGTTTTTGTGAACTTTCTAACCATTTTTGAATACTTTATTTGCTCCCATAAACCTAAACACGTTGAGAAATACTTTTAAAGGTTACATTATGCAGATAATAAGAATGGACATAAATACCACATGCTCTTTCTCCCCAGCTTTAGAAGAACAGTTCATATTTTTCACTATTCATTAGTAGGTCTTGGTAAATTGCCATTGTAATAATCTCATAAATGGAAAAGTATTTCTCTGGTGAATGTTTTTGGCAAATATCTTACCAGTGTACAATGAGAAACATAATAGTACAGTCAATTTCCTTACGGCTTTTACAAGCTGTCTGCAAGTTTTAGTCTCTTTGTGAGGAGCGCATATCTGGCCTTTGAAATAATTGTTTGCCCATTGACAGGTCTGGGGCCTCTGCATTGTGAAGTAGAGCTTCACTCTGAGCCATACGTTGTGTATTTGCGTTTGCTGGTGTTCTCCCGCTTCTCTCTGAAGATCCGTTTTATAAAAACCTTGAGATACAGAATAGCCACACTTCCCTGTGCCCCTGTCCTCTTCCCATTAGGAGTGCTGCATCACTGGGCTGATGAGTCAGAAGTTCCAGCGTTCCTCCCAGGCAGTCTGAGAAACATTGAGGGGGTATCACCTCATGCTCACCACACTCAGGAGGTTTCTGGGGCATTAATGCAACCACAGCAGCACTTGGGGGGCCCCAAGTTATTTATGAGAATGCAAGAAATCTTGCTGAATCACGGGGCTGCTCATAGACAGCAACGTGACACTGAAACAGGAGCTTCATGGGTCTTTCTTTCAGTCTGGCCTTATGACTGCTGTAAAGGGAAGGGTCTTGGAGCTGGTTGGTAGGGTAAGCCAGGGAGGCATTTCCGGTACAGGCTTCACAGTGTCCACTAGACAGTGAGAATGGCTTTGTGAGTGACACTTAAGAAAATCTGAAGGAACACCTCTTGATGACATAGAAGCATATGAAGCGTATGAAGATGAAGATCCTCAGGCAGTGGCAAGAGGTTTGTTTTTGTTTGTTTCTTTGTTTTTACATTTGCCTGTTACTCCAGATAAGACTATGATTCAGGATGTATGCAGTCACAAATAGAAGTCTCTGCCAATTGTGCTACCCCAGGAATAACAACTTTAGCAACTATCTAAATAAAAAAGCACCTCCATAAGAACTGAAAATTATTTAAATGTTCATATGATGTGGTTTTAATGTCATATCAGTGAAAGAGGCACTGAACAGCATAGGAAAGACTGTCTTGAATTGTTGATGCCACCACCGTGAACCTGTGGCAAGGAGAGAGGTGACATGCTTGGGGATGGGAGAGCACAGCAGCTGTGGGACTTTGCCTGAACTCAGTGCTGCCTCGTCACAGCAGAAAGCAAAACAAAGCCGAATCCACCCAAAGCCCACCCACAGAAAAAACATTTAGACTAGCCCCAACCATAGGGGAATTATTCATCCCTGTGGTTGGAACTTGCGTGGTGAAAGCCTGGCTGCCATGGGATAAAATAGTCTGGGGTCCCTAATCAACCTGAAAGGCTGTCTAGGTCACAAGGACTGAAACTCCTAGTGCCATCTGGACAGACCTAGTGCTGTCCCAGGGGTCATGGCCACAGGGGTGCTTGTATCACTCCTCTCCCAGCTCCAGGCAGCTTAGCGCAGAGAGACAGACTTCATTTGTGGGAAAGTAAGTGAAGAAGCGAGTCTCTGTCCATTAATCTAAAGAATTCCTTCAGGTCTGATCTCAGACCACCAATGTGGAGCCTCCACAATTCTGCAAAAAGCAATGACATTCTTCACAGAAATAGAAATTTAAAAATGAATTCTAAAATATATAGGCAACTACAAAAGACTCAGAATATCCAAAGCTAACCTGAGCAAAAACAAACCTGGAGGAATTACATTACCTAATTTCAAATTACCCTCTATACCTGTGGTAACCAGAACAGCATGGCACTGTGATTAAAAACAGACACGTAGCCCAATGGAACAGAATAGAAACCCAGAAACCAGTTCATACATCTGCAGTAAACTCATTCTCTATGAAGGTGCCAAGCACATGCAATGGGGTAATAACAGTCTCGTTGGTAAGAGGTGCTGGGAAAACTGGATATCCACATGCAGAAGAATGAAACCAAGCCTCTATTTCTTACCTTATACAAAAATCAAAATGGATTAAAGATGTAAATCTAAGCTGGGCATGGTGGCTCACACTTGTAATCCCAGCACTTTGGGAGGCCAAGATGGGAGAATGGCTTGAGCTCAGGAGTTCAAGACTATCTGGGCAACACAGTCTTTTAAAAAAACTTTAAAAAACTAAAAATAGATTTAAATCTAAGACCTCAAATACAAAACTAAAATAAAACAGTGGGAAAACTCCACGGTATTGGACTGGGCAAATATTTCTTGCATAATGTTTTATAAGCACAGGCAACCAAAGCAAAAATGGGCAAATTAGGTCACATCAAGTTAAAAAGCTTCTGCACAACAAAGGAAACAGTCAACAAAGTGAAGTGACAACCCACAGAATGAGGTTTGAAAACTATCTGACAAGGGATTAATTACCAGAATACTAAGGAGCTCAAATAACTCCATGGAAAAAAAGTAACCATCTGATTTTTTAAATGGGCAAAATATCTGAATAGACATTTCTGAAAAGAGGACACATTAGGCAGGCTTGGTGGCGTGTGCCTGTAATTTCAGCTGCTTAGGAGGCTTAGATGTGAAAATTACCTGAGCCTGGGAGGTCAAGGCTGCAGTGAGCTGTGATTCTGCCACTGCGCTCCAACCTGATTGACAAAGTGAGACCTGTTTGAAAACTCCTTAAGAAAGGCATACCAATGCCAAACAGGTATATGGAAACATACTCAACATCAATATCGTTGATGTTCAGAGAAATGCAAATCAAAATTACAATGAAAGATCATCCCACCGCACTTAAAATGGCTCTTACTGTAAAAACAGGCAATAACAAATGCTGGCGAGGATATAAAGCCAAGGTAACCCTTGTTCACTGTCAGTGGGAATGTAATTTAAATACAGCCACTATGGAGAACAGTTCGGAGGTCCTCAGAACTAAAAATAGAGCCACCATATATATGATCCAGGAATCTCACTGCTGGGTATAAACCCAAAAGAAAGGAAATCAGTATATCAGAGAGATACCTGCACTCTCATGTGTGTTGCAGCACTATTCACAACAGCCAAGATTTGGAAGCATTCTAAGTATTCACCAACAGATGAGTGGCTAAAGAAAATGGTTCATATACACAATGGAGCACTATTCAACCATGAAGGAGAATGAGATCCTGTTATCTGCAACAACATGGATGGAAATGTGAAGTGAAATAAGCCAGACACAAAAAGACAAAATTTACCTATTCTCACTGATTTGTGGGAACTAAAAATTAAAACAATTTAACTCATGAAGATATAGAGTAGAATTGTTTGCAGCTGCTGGTAAAAGTAGCATGGAGGATGAGAGGAGTAAGGGGTGATGGTTAATAGGTGCACACATTTGGTTAGAAAGAATAAATAACATCTAGTATTTGATAGCACAACAGGGTGACAACAGTCAAGAATTATTTAATTGTACATTTTAGAGTAACTAAAAGAGTGTTATTGAATTATTTGTAAAAAATAAAAATAAAAGGATATATACTTGAGGTGCAGTGGATTTTCCATTTACCCTGCTGTGATTATGACACATTATATAGCCTGTATCAAATAATTTTATATACCCCATAAATATGTACACCTATAATGTACCCCCAAAATTTTTGAAGACTTTCATTCAGAATTAACACAATGTATATTTACAATTGAAATGAGGCTTCTTGTAACCAAGAAGAGACTAGTGATGGTTGGTTGCTGCTCAAATGGCTACTAAGTTACCACTTTGCTAATAGTATAAACTGAGTTGTCATGGTGATATTGCTAGTAGCCATTTTAGTAAAGGATTTAACAGAAAATGAACGTCATTTGAAAGTTGCAGAAGCTAAATTTCTCTTAATCGCTACTGTCATCAATCTGTAAACTGGTTTCTCTGTGTGTATGTGTGTGTGTGTGTGTGTGTGTGTGTGTGTGTGAGAGAGAGAGAGAGGTGGAGTTTTGCTTTTGCCGCCTAGGCAACAATGTGCAATGGCGTGATGTTGGCTCACTGCAACCTCTACCTCCTGGGTTCAAGCAGTTCTTCTGCCTCAGCCTCCTGAGTAGCTGGGATTAAAGGCATGTGCCACCACACCTGGCTAATTTTCTATTTTTAGTAGAGATGGGGTGTTACATAATATTCAGGAGCCTGGAGAGACCAATGGGTGAAACAGGAGGATTTTATTAAGGTGGCCACTAGCTCAGCAGATTTGCATCCCAAGGCTGAGAGCCTAACAAAGACAGGGCTCGATATGTTATACAGCCAGGATGACATAGCAACTAACAGATCTACAGAAGCCAGAGGAAAGAACAGTTAACTTGTGACATGTCTTGTGATGTATGTTACGTTTAAAAATCGCATTTTGAGAAACACATTGCACATTTTTTGGGTATTATATTACCCTGTGACCTTGCAGCTGGTCTGAAAGAAAAACGGGAGTCTTGAGATACCTGGGAACTTTGCTGAGAAAGTAGGGAGACTAGATAAGGTAGATTTTGTAGAGAATTGCATAATTTCAAGCAGAGCTGGGGGTTAGGTTTTATACTGAACATAACACAGTAAACTTTATTATGCAGCAATTACAGACTACTATTGTTATTATTTGATTTCCCTCTTCAGGGGTTTCTCCATGTTGTTTCTCCATTGGTCACTCTGGTCTCGAACTCCTGATCTCAGATTATCCACCCATCTTAGCCTCCCAAAATGCTGGGATTACAGGTCTGAGCCACTGTGCCCAGCTTGTAAACTGGTTTCTTGAAGGGAGCAAGATTTGTAATGATGAACACTTAGCTCCACTATAGTGGCAGTTAAATTGACCTCAAGACCTGCAGCTAATCTGGTGGGGCTCTAGCTCTAGTTCCAAGGTCAGAGAATACACAGAGAAATGTGCAGGTGTCCACAGATAAGAGCTCCAGAGGCAGTGATGACAAAGGCCAGCCCCAAGATGACCAGTTCTACATAGTGCCATTTGTGAACGCAGAAGCATCAGGAGCTATGCTCTAAAGAGGAGCTATGCTCACGATCTTTGGAGATTGAAAAACATTACAACAAAGTGTTTAATGGACTTTTATCTTGTCCGTCTGCTGTTGATTATTTATAATGATCTATTTTTGACTGTAAATTGAACCTTTTAAAAATTAGTGTCTATCAGATTTTTCTTCAAACTTTTCAACATCTGTTAGTCTTGTTAGGATGTATTTTTCTTCAGAAGCATCACTAATTATCAGGGAAATGCAAATTAAAACCACAGTGTAATACCACCTTACTCCTGCAAGAATGGGCCATAATTAAAAAATCAAAAAATCATCTATGCTGGTATGGATTTGGTCAAAAGGGAACACTTACACTGCTGATGGGAATGTAAACCAGTACAAGCACTGTGGAAACCAGCACTGCCATTCAGTCCAGCAATCTCACACTGCGTATCTACCCAAAGGAAAAGAAGTCATATGAAAAAGACAAATGCACATGCATGTTGATAGCAGCACCGTTTGCAATTGTAAAAATGTGGAACCAGCCTCACTGCCCATCAATTAATGGGTAAAGAAAACGTGGAATATATATACCATGGCATACTGCTGAGCCATAAAACAGAATGAAATAATGGCCTTAACAGCAACCTGGATGGAGCTGGAGGTCATTATTCTAAGTGAAGTGACTCAGGAATGGAAAACCAAATATCATGTATTCTCCATGAGAATCTAAAGTCATAAAATGCTACAGTGGCCTTTGGGGACTAGGGGAGGAAGGTTGGGAGGGGGGTGATGGATAAAAGATTACATCTTGGGTACACTGCTCAAGTGGTAGGTGAACCAGAAGCTCTGATGTCACTCCTAAAGAAATTATCCATGTAACCAAAGCCACCTGTTTCTCAAAAATGATTGAAATAAAATTTAAAAACATTATTGATAAACAACATATATACATATACACACACACACATATACATGTAAGTTAAACTGAGCAGCTTCTAGTCCGAAAATTTGCTGTGCTTGAAAAGGGTATGCTATTCAGCCATTTAAAAAACAACGAAAACTAAGAAGATCCACATCCTGTAGGGGTAATTGTTTGCTTCAATAACTACTATTAATAAACATGATTATTCTGTGAAATACCATATTTTACACAGTTAAAATAGGTTTATGGAAATACAGAAAAGAGATTATGAAGTGCATACATTTCTGTAGTAAATTAAGTCCTGGTCAGCTGATTATTCACATATCTGATTGACATTCCCATCATAGCCTCGTGGTTAAATGAATAGGAAATTAATGTTGGAAGTAGTTTCAGCTGGGTTTTCGGTGAAACCAATGAGAAAACCACAGACCTGCTTATATCCTAACTGCTTTCCATACCGGAGAACTTCAAGCATTTGTTGACTTAGCCAGTGGATAAAACATTGAAATTTTAAAAGCCAGAAAGTAAATGTGCTGTTGAGGTATGGTTTTTATACAATTAAGTCTTTATAGTGATTACTATGAGAGTGGTAAGATTACTCTAGTTTTGTATTTATTTAAACATTTGACCAAGAGCTGGATAAAGTGGCTCATGTCTGTAATACTGTAACATGGCTAGCCTAAAAGTTAGAACCTGAGAAATGCCATTTTATAAAAGACAAAGCTGTTCTTAAAATAAGCTGTAATGGCTTCCCCATTCTCTTTGCAATAACTGCTGACCTTGGCTTCTATGAAAAGTGCTTGCTTTTGCTTATCAATAAGTGCTGAAAAGTTGCTTGCACTGCATCCCCTCAGCTTAAAAACCCCACTCCCCCTGAACTCGGGGCCATGGGTTGGAGAGACGCGAGTCCTCCGTGGTCGCCGGCAATAAATGACCCTGCAATTTGACATACTTTTGTCTTGGTGTTGACTTTCTATGCTCGGTCCAGTACAACGATACCAGCACTTTGGGAGGCCAAGGTGGGAGTATCCACTTGATCACAGGAGTTTAACACTAGCCTGGGCAAAAAGTGAGACCCTGTCACTACAAAAAGAATTTTTAAAAAGCACCCAGCTGAGTGGCATGAGCCTGTAGTTCCAAACCTTGAAAGCCTTAGTTGCATGGGTTACTTGAGCCTGGGAGGTTGAGTCTGCTGTGAGCTAGGATCATGCCAGTGCACTTTAGCCTGGGTGACCCTGTCTCAAAAAAACAAAAACAAAACCTTTGGCCAGGACAGGTGAATAATCATGCAGCAGAGGGCTGCTTCCAGCCTGTTCCCCTCTCAGTGCATTCAACTCATCCCCACATTCTGTTGTGGCCAGGGGTGACCGATGCTGAGCACCTTGGGGTTTCATTTCTAACCCAACTCAGGAGAAACAGTGTGTAAGGCCGGCATCCTACCAGAAGGCATCTCATAAAGTGAGTTTAGTTTAGCCAAGATGTCTCTCTCTGATCTTTCTACCGTTGGAGGTGTAAAGAGTATTCCTGCCCCATAATAGTGACAGCTAATAAATGGCATCCATCATTTCTGTCATCTGATCACTATTGTGGTGTCTTGGGAGTGAGCATGAAGTCTGAGTTGTGCAATGGAACGCTCAAGAATGAGCCCCGAGTCAGCTGCACAAGTACAGAGGAGGCCATCACCTTTCTCCTCATCCCAAACTTGGGGTGCTGGATTCAGAATGGACTGCAAGCAGCTGGGCCCTATTTGGACATTAGCGTAGGAACACACCTGCATGTGTTTCAAAACAGAATTTGGATCCATTCTAGTAGCACAGTGTGATATTTTTAAATAGCTGGAGAAAAGTTTTGTTAACTGACTTAACAACTGCCTATTAAATGCATGTAGTATTGTTTTAAAATTATCTACAAAATTGTAACCTCCATGTTTTCTTGTAAAAGAAGTGGAAGTAATACAGAGACCCTTTCCAATGAAGAATCACTGAGAAACAAAATGGAAGTAGGATAACATTTACTTATGTATCTTTTTGAAGATTATACAAGAATGAATTTGCATCAGGCTTTTCAATTTATGAACATCAGTAGAATTTCCCTCTAGGGAAAGTTTTCACATCAATGTTCAAGAAATTCTTAAAACTATAAACTTTTCTGTATTTGGTAATCTACCAGGGTTCCAATCCAATGTGCTTTCTTATATTTATAAGGTCTATCTCCAGTGCGTATTATCATGGGTCTTGGAGCAAATACCATGTAAATGAAGGCATTTCTACATTCTTTACATTCATAGGTTTTATTTCAGAAATGAGTTCTTATCTTCATGTGGAACTGGAACAACTGAAGACCTTACCACATGTTTCTATTTATAAGGAATTTCCCATTGAATCCTTTCATGTTTTCAAAGAAATAAAAAAGCTGAAGCTTTGCCATGTTTCTTAAGATTATGTCGTTTTTCTCCATATTAAATGTGAATATGTCTTTGAAATCATAGGGGAAAATCAAGTTTATTAACACAGTTTTTACATTTATGTTTTGTTTCTGGTACAAGTTTTTTTCTGAGTTTTCAAAGAGAATTGGGAAAGTTGCATGCTTTCTTGTATTTCTTCGCTAGATCAGGTTCTATCCAGTGTGAGTTATTTCATGAATTCTAATAAACTAGAGCACATGACAGCTTTACCAAATTTCCTACATAAGAATAATGTTTTTGAAGATAGCCCAGTGAACTAACATGGTCCTGTGTTGGTTTTGTTGTTTCTCTTTCTCCAGGAATGAGTTGCGAAGGTACTTCTTGGAGCTAATTAATGCTAATAACTATGTTCCTCTAAGTGTTTATACCAGATACTACTTCTATCTTCGTGCCTTGGCATTCAGGCATGGCCTGAGTTTGCCATATCACCTTCTTGATAGAGAAAGAGCATGGGATCTGGAGGTAAGGCTATGAAGTCACTAAGTGGGTTTTCAGTCAAACACCAGGGCCAACATTTATGACTAGGTCATAAGAAGTAGTGATTAGAAAAATGGAGAGATTCAAAATTAACATACTGCAGAGCTTATTAACCTTTCGGCATTCTATTTCTTATATCTCTTATGGTTTTTATAAGGATTCACGTTTTTTGAAAATTATAGATATTATCTCTTTTGTGGCCATAATTCAGAATGTTTTAATCAAACTAAATTCATTCTTAATGAATTTGAACGTTTTGAACCTTTGCCCTTGCAAATAATCATGCAGAAACGATTTCTTGCCATTGTATTTCTAACGATGTCTACATACATAATGCACTTACCACTCTTGACTACTTTTTATTACTCGGTTTGCAAATTTCTGTCATTTTCTACTGTGCGTACCACAGTGCAGTCAGTCCCATGGGTGTGTTAGACAAACCATTAGTGCCTAAGCCGAGAGACCTGCACTTAGACAGTATGAGGTGTGCGGGTCTCAAGTACTGGCTGCAGGAAGTACATGGGATTTTACTGGAAATGATAACTCTTATGGGACAAAGTAATATTTATGGTTTGTGACTTTTGGTAAGTACACAGCAAAATTACTCACAGCTGACAAGGATGAACATTTAAAATAGTCACGTTCTGTGGCATCATGGAAGTATTTTAAAATAATACAATTTTCTACCATAAGCATAAAAGTAGTGCCTTTTGATGCTGAATCATTAGACTTTGTTGACATTTCAATACAATCCAGCACATGCCTGCCTGGTTACAATTTTCTTTCAGTATATAATAACTTTATAGATTGGGTAAAATGCGAATAGATTAATAATCTAACTTTTTGCAATAGTGTTCTTTCATTATTTTTAAGGCAGAAGGGCACAGGTAACAGATGATACTGTTAGAAGCCTGTCACAATAGGGTGACATTTTGGGGAGCCCAATTTTTAAGTAACTTAATAAAGCAAGCTGCCCTTTGCTCCAGCAATCTAATTCTAGCCCTGAAAGGAGATAACCTAAGTAAGCTGCCGGAAGTTGGCAGTGTAAACCTCAGCCAAAGTAGCTGTAGCTGAACTATCTAAAGGAGTCTGCATGTGTGGCTTCTCCTCAGTGGTGATTGTTAAAAGGATGGAACCCTTTTTAAAATTGTACCACTTTTCTATTTGACATTCTTAGGCTTTCTCAAGGATGGAACAAGAGGAAGTGTTCTATACTGCTCGAAAGATGGGGTCTTTGAGTGTTGATGACTTAACTCGTCTTCAGCACACTAAGGCCGTCCTCTCCTGAAGGAAGAAATGAGGGGTAATGTAACATCTGAGCCCCTCACCAAAAAAGACAGGAACATACCACCTCTCCTGCTACATAACTACACAAGTTTGTATTTTCGAAAGAAGAAATACCTCAATTCAAGTTAACTCAAGGACAACTAAGATTGCACTTTATAGTAAAGAATGGGACCTTGTCAGGGCAACAACACAGTCTTACACTCTTCTGTCCCTTTGAATGTAAACAGAGTCATAGAAACCACTCCAAAGTGAAGCCTCCTTCTGCTCACTCACAGATGCTTTAGTGTGTCGGCTGATAGCTGTGAACTGTGTCAGCCTTTTTCTGTTTTGTTTTCAGATGAGTCTCTGTTACCAGGCTAGGGGGCAGTGTTTTTTATGGAGGAGCGAACAACATGAGAAGGAAGGTGGGAGGAAGAGTGGAGAATGGCAAAATCAGATTCAGACTTAGGGGATGTTTCACCCAGAAGTCAGCCTGTTCTTAGGAGGGGCATAAACGGGGTTTGTATGTTGGCTCAGACTGAAGGCAGAGCAGAGTCCGGGAGCTGGGGAAGGAGAGAAACTTAAGCACAGTTGTGATGGAATTCCTGGAACCCAGGAGGCAAAGGTTGCGGTGAGCCGAGATTGCACCAGTGCACTCTCTATCTTATAAAAATAACTTGAAGCAGATCTGACATTCTTGAATAATTTCTAACTTTATTTTTGGCCTGATTCTCTATAATTGTGAGAGAATAAAAATAAAAATAAACTAGTATATATTCTGGTTTGAAGAAAGTTGTCTTGACAATTTTTTTAAACATAGAAGTTTCATGTCTTCATTGTATTTTTAAAAATAATTTTTTTGAAATGTTTTTACTGCGCCGGGCACGGTGGCACGTGCCTGTAGTCCCAGCTACTCGGGATGCTGAGGTGGGAGGATCGCTTGAGCCCAGGAGTTCTGGGCTGCAGTGCGCTATGCCGATCGTTCAGCATCAATATGGTGACCTCCCGGGAGCGGGGAACCACCAGGTTGCCTAAGGAGGGGTGAACCGGCCCAGGTCAGAAATGGAGCAGGTCAAAACTCCCATGCTGATCAGTAGTGGGATCGCGCCTGTGAATAGCCACTGCACTCCAGCCTGGGCCACACAGCGAGACCCTGTCTCTAAAAAAAAAAAAAAAAAAAGTTTTTACTGAACTTGTTCCTTTTGAAGTCACTAGTTACAGATAAAAGTTACGTAACTTAATAATTCATTATTAGGTTTGTTACCAAGTCAACTACTCAATACTTTGTGTTGGCATATTTTGTGACACATATTAAGTTAAATTTTAAATAATTTCGATGTGATTCTAAAACAAGAATTTTGAAACATGAGATACGTTTGATAAATTGCTGTGGTGTTGAGATATTTGGCAAATCAATTTAATAATATTTTTAAAGTTTTAAATAAAATTTAAGAAAATGAGTATGACACAGAGTATCAAACATTGTCCAGTGTTCCAATATAATGGAGCAAATGGGAGAAGTATGACAATTAGTTTTTCTGTTATATTGACAAAGCTAAATAATTATCTCCTGCCATCTATTTTATCTTGATTAAAACTATGAGTGAGGGGCTGGGCGCGGTGGCTCACACCTGTAATCCCAGCACTTTGGGAGGCCGAGACGGGTAGATCACGAGGTCAAGAGATCGAGACCATCCTGTCAACATGGTGAAACACCATCTCTACTATAAATACAAAAAGTGAGCTGGGCATGGTGGCACACGCCTGTAGTCCCAGCTACTTGGGAGGCTGAGGCAGGAGAATTGCTTGAACCCAGGAGATGACAGAGGTTGCCGTGAGCCAAGATCGTGCCATTGCACTCCAGCCTGGGTAACAAGAGCGAAACTCTGTCTCAAAAAAAAAAAAAAGAAATTAAATGGTGGCAGACATGTCCAAGGAATATTGCTGGGATTTGACCCTTTATGAATCTTGTGATAGATGAATGTGTGGAGATGGCGACTAGCGGACAACAGAATAATATTGGAATGGTGGTAATACGAGGAAATAGTATCATCATTTTAGAAGCCTTGGAACGAGTATAAATAATGGCTGTTCAGCGGAGAAACCCATGTCCTCTCTCCATAGGGCCTGTTTTACTATGATGTAAAAATTAGGTCATGTACATTTTCATATTAGACTTTTTGCTAAATAAACGTTTGTAATAGTCAAAAAAAAAAAAAGAAAGAAAATGAAATTTAAAAGGAAGTCTGGAGGCAGATAGCTCATGCCTGGAGGATGCCTTGAGCATCTGTGAACTGAGTTACAAGGCTGATACAGAGACTTAGCTGTCCTGTTGTCAGCTCACTACCCCATAAGTAAAATATTTGAGTTTATTAGACAAGATTAAATGACAGGGAACAACATGTAAAATAATTAAAGGACAAAGAGGCTTGCATGATTATAAAAATCAGGATTTAAGCAAAAAGCAAATTAATCAAGTCAACATTTATTACTCACCTACTACGTGCAAATCCAATTCTAAGTGCTGAGTGGCTGGTAATAAAGTCAGCTTCTTCTCAAAAGACAGGAAGCCTTAAAGACATCTCTGACACCTCAAGCAGTGATCTGGGGTATCAAAGAGACCTCCAGCCACATGACAAATGTGGTCTCATTCTAGAGTTACCCTCCATATTCTGCCTTCTTTGCTACATTTGGGAGCCTACTGTTGAGATGAAAATCAGGAGGACCAGTCTCCTGGATTGTGCTCTTCCCTCCCCTCCACCATTCTTACTAGGAGTAGCTTTTAACTTTGCCACCAGTTCAGAATCTCAGGGCTATGGCCACACCAGCTTACTGAGACCAAAGATGTAAATTGCTGTCCCCAATTTACATCTTTGGGTGAAGAGGAGCAGGGTTCAACCTCGCTACCCACTTTCTGACCTCAGGCTTCCCTCTTCCTGCTCCCTAAGAAGAAACTTTAGTTCCAGACACAAAAAGCTGGCATCTGGTATGAAATTCCACCAGTCTGCAGTCCTGGATGAGTGAGCCTCATGGAATAGATTGACTGTGGAATAGACTTGCTATGTAAATACTGGTCACTTTAACTTTCTGAGCTTCTCTTTCTCAACTGTCAGTTGAGAAAAGCAATGAACACCAACTTCTCCTATTTCTCAAAGTCATCCCAAAGCCATAGGAGTATCACCATAAACTTGATTGTGAGAAAATGCTTTGCAATGTAAGAAGTGCCATGCAAATTAGTTGATGCCATTATCATCAGTCTCATGCATCAAAAATGCTTGATGCCTAAATCTAAAACTTGAGAGGAAAGCATTCTTTTTCATTCATTTTACAAGTTACACCTCCCTTCTTCCCCACATCTTTGTTTAGGATCTGGGCCCTGAAGTTAGAGGACCAAGATTCAAATCCCAGCTCTATCAGTACTAGCTATGTGACACTGGGAATATTACTTGATCCCTGTTTATCTTAGTTTCTCCATTTGCTAAACGAGGATGAGAATAATATCTACCCAAATAAGGTGCCCAATGGAGTACCCAACAGCATGAAACCCAATAAAAGTTAGTTGACATCACATCCATAATCCACATCTTTAGGTATTAAATTTTCATCATACCAGAGCATTTTCCTTCTTTAAGCCCTTTTCACTCTTAAGTGGCACTTTCTTGGATACTGACTGCACTCCTCACAGACTTGAAACACTCAAACACACAAGATGCCATTTAGGAGATGTTGGAACTTGGGTTTCCTTCTCTGTAAAACTGAGTTACGACAGTCATCTCTCAGGGCTGTTGTAAGAATGAGTGAATTAGGGTATACAAAATGTCTTAGCACAGAGTGCTTAAGAAATTATTAGTTCCCGGCTGGGCACAGTGTTTCATGCCTGTAATCACCACTTATGGAGGTAAAGGCAAGTGGATCACCTGAGGTCAGGAGTTCAAGACCAGCTCAGTTAACATGGCGAAACCTTGTCTCTACTAAAAGTACAAAAATTAGCTGGACATGGTGGTGAGCACCTGTAATCGCAGCTACTTGGGAGGCTGAGGTAGGAGAATCGCTTGAACCCGGGTGGTGGAGGTTGCAGTGAGCCGAAATCATGCCATTGCACTCCAGCCTGGGCAACGAGTGAGACTCTGCCTTAAAAAAAAAAAAATTATTATTTCCCTTTTTCCCACCCACGCCTCACCACAAACGCTTGTTGTGGGGATAACATGTGAAAGTGAACAAAACTGAGATCACATCACACAGCACTCAGCCTCTAGTAGAAGACACAGGCAATAAACAGGGAAAGACGAAAACAGTACTGGGTAGTGGTGAGTGCAATGAAGAAGCTCCCACAGCGTAAAGCGGGGAGAATAATCAGTGGCCCTTTCAGGCAGGGGGTTAGCGCAGGCCTCTGGGGAGAGACCCACACTCAGACTTGGGTGGAATTATTTCTCTTATGTGTGTTTAGTTAGGGCTTGTAGAGATGCTCTGTCGTGGTTATCTAACCTTGGGAGAAACAATGTCAGACGAGTTTCAACATGAGTATGAGAATTGCTCTCCCTTTTGAAAAAACAGGAATTGAGTTCACGCTAATCACAAATACAACAAGTCTATTTGAGTCTTGTGTGCTTCATGGATTGAAGTGTATCTTTGCACTTAGTCAAGAAGTTCCAGTGAGAAGAATGTTCCTTAAATTCCTAAGTGCAACGGAGTAGTTGAATTGAGCCACGGATGGTAAATCTACTTGGGTCTTAGGAAAGCACATGCCAAGGAAAGGTAGTGCTGGGTGCCCTGCCTATTTCTGATGACACAGCCTTGAAGAGGGGAAAGAAGCCAATGGGCAAAAGCCTGGTCTTGTTCTGAAAGGCATAACGGGGAGGAGGATTGCGGAAAACTCACCCAAAAATGACTGAGCTCTGACCTTGGACTCAAGAAGCTGCAATAAGCAACATGAATGGAACTGGAGGGAAATAAACTAGGCATGGAAACACAATTGTTGCATATTCTCACTCATGTGGTGTAATAACCTGCTTTCTGCCAGCTAAAACTAACTCTCCCCTTCCCAGACTAAAAGCTGTTCAGGCTTTATGTTAGCTTCTTGAGCCAGACAGACTCCATCTTGGCTTCTTCATTTTAGCTATTTTCTCCCCATTGAGTATGTAACTATAGTATGAAGCTGGGTCAGGCTGACACTGGGCACCCAGGAATGTGTTTGTTGATAGGAAGCCGAGTGAAGTGTTATCAGCAGAGCCTGGGAATGCAGGTGCAGGGAGCGCCCGGAGCCCCCATTATCTATAAGTTGTATGTCTTTCATGACAGCTTTACCCCTCACACCTGGCACTGTTTTATTTCTTATTTATCAGTTTATCTTTTAACTTTTTGCTTACTCTACTTTTGTAAAAACTTTACTTCAGCTAGGTTCCCCCTCTCTGTTAAAACTAGTGTGTAAAAGGCCACCTAACTTTTTTTCGGGGCCAAGAGAATTTTGGGTGTTAGCTATTCTCAGTTGCCAGCTTAATAAAAGACTCATAATTCAATCTCAGAGTGTGGCACATTCCTTCACTCGCTCGGGTACAACAGTGGGAACTAAAAATGTGCATTTCACGGAGAATAATAGAATGATGGTTATCAAAGCCTGGGAATGGTTGTGGGGTGGGAGGGTATTAAGAAAA